CTAAATGGGAATTTAGGAGACAGGGGTTCCTTGTTCCGAAGCAACCCGATAGTAAGGGACCGCTTCTGGGCTTTTCTCTGGGGCGAACGGTGAGAGCAATGGCTGGAGGAAGGTGGCGCACTCAGCAGTCTGTGTCCCGATGGGGACTTTCTCAGGCGGCTTGGACCTGTGGCATTCTCTGGATTGTGGGGCGATGAATCCAGGGACCGAGAGTGTTGAGACGTGGGAGGATAAGAATCTGCTGTACAGTAGGGCACTGCAGTTTCTGGAGTCTAAATCTGCAGACTCCCATCCCTGCTCCATCATTTCTGCTTGGGAAATATTAGGCAAGTGATGTAATCTCCCTCTAAATTGATGAAAGGAGAACAACCCATTAAAATGGATGTTTTAAAAATTAAAATGGCCAGATGCGGTGGTGCCTGCTGGTAGCCCCAGTTAATTCAGAGGCTGAGGCAGGTGTGTTGCTTGAGCTCAAGAGTTAGAGGCCAGCTTGGGTAGTAAAGTGAGACCCTGTCTCAAATAAATAAATAAATAAATAAAATTGACACTGGATGTGGTGGCATACACCTGTAATCCTAGCAACTTTGGAGGCTGAGACAGGAGGATTGCAAGTTCGAGACCAGCCTCAGCAACTCAGCGAGACCCTGTCTCAAAAAAGAATGTAGCTCAGTGGTAAAGCCCCAGAGGGTTCAATCCCCAGCATCCCTAAATAAATAAATAAGTCAAATTGACTTTTCAAAGTAAGCCTCTTCTCTGCCATGTGCACTGGTGCACACCTGTAATCCCAGAAACTGGGGGAAGCTGAGGCAAAAGGATAGGAAATTTAAGGCCAATTTAGGCAATTTAGTGAGACTCTAAATTGTGTATTTAACCATAATAAAATAAAAAAATAAAAAGGTTTGAGGATGGCGCTCAGTGCTAAAACACCCCTTGGTTCAATCCCCAGCACCAACAATAATGATAAAAACTAATAGAATGGTACCACTGTGAAATACAGTGTGGAGGCTCTGCACGAGTTAAAAGTAGAATTGCCATATGCTCTGGCAAATCCACTCTGGGTATACATTCCAAAGGATTGATAACAGGTTCCAGATGAGATATTTGTACATCCACGTTCATAGCGGCACTATTCACAGTAGACACAAGATGGAAACAATCCATTGTCCTTTGAAGGATAACATGTGGTGTATCCATACAATGGAATATTACTCAATCTTATAAAGGAGTAAAATTTGATATATGCTACAATATAGATGAACCTTAAGAATAGTATACTAAGTTAGCCTGTCACAAAAGAATCCCATTTATCAGAAGTACCTAGAATAGGAAAATTCTTAGACACAGTAGGATAATGGTTTTTTTGTGTGTCTGGGGAGGGAAAGAAATGGGGTGTTGTGTAATGAGTTTCAGTTCTGCAAAAATGAACTGAGTTCTGGAGATTGGCTGAAACAATGTGAACATACTACTGAACTATACACTTAAAAATGGTAAAGTGAGCCAGATGCAGTAGCCCACACCTGTAATCCCAGTGACTGGGGAGACTGACGTAGGAGGATTGCAAGTTTGAGGCCATTCTCAGCAACTTAGCCAGACCCTCAGCATTTTAGTGAAACCCTGTCATAATATAAAAAATAAAAAGAACTGGGGATGTGGCTCAGTGGCAGAGTGCCCCTCGGTTTAATCCCCAGTGCCAATAAAAAGAGAGGTTAAAGTATTAAATTTATGTAAAGTGTATTTAACCACAATTTAAAATATTTTTTAAATATTTATTTTTTAATTGTAGGTGGACACATAATATATTTATTTCATTTTTATGTGGTGCTGAGGATTGAACCCAGTGCCTCACCCATGCTAGGTGAGCACTCTACCACTAAGCCACAACCCCAGCTCTAAAAATATTTCTTTTAGGATTGGGGATATTGCTCAGTGGTAGAGCATTTGCTTAGCATGTTCAAGGCCCCAGCACCACAAAAATAACAATAAATTGTTTGATTTTAAAAATAAATGGCTAGCCGGATGCAGTGGCACATGCCTGTAATCCCAGCAGCTGGGGAGGTGGAGGCAGGAGGCCTGGGAGTTCAAAGCCTGCCTCAGCAACTTAGCGAGGCCCTAAGCAACTCAGCAAGACCCTGTGTCTAAAATATTTTAAAAAGGGCTGGGCGGGCTGAGGTTGTGGCTAAGCAGTAGAATGCTCACCTAGCACAGCCCTGGGTTCAATTCTCAGCACCACATAAAAATAAATAAAATAAAGGTATTGTGTCCAACTACAACTAAAAAATAAATATTTTTTTTGAGAGAGAATTTTTTTAATATTTATTTTTTAGTTCTCGGGGGACACAACATCTTTGTTGGTATGTGGTGCTGAGGATCGAACCCGGGCCGCAAGCATGCCAGGCGAGCGCGCTACCGCTTGAGCCACATCCCCAGCCCCATAAAAAATAAATATTTTTAAAAGGGAGGGGGGAGCTGGGGATATGGATCAGTGGTTGAGCATCTCTGGTTTCAAACCCTGGTACCAATAAATAAATAAATAAATAAATAATGGCTACATGCCTATCATCAAATAAATGGAAAATAGAATGTGCTAAAATCATGCCATGGAATATTATTTGGCCATAGAAAGGAAAGAAGTACTGATGATGCTATAACATAGATGAACCTTGAAAACATTATTCTAAGAGAAAGAAGCAAGGCACAAAAGGCCACATATTGTATGGTCTGTTTGTATGAAACACCAGGAATAGGCAATGTTTTAGAGACAGAAAGTAGATTAGTGGTGACCTAGGCCTGGGGGGAGGGGGATGGAAAAGTGAAAGTGAGGCCCACTGGTAAAGGGCAGGGACTTCTTTTGGTGGCGAAGAATGATTGTAGTGCTTGTTGCACAACTCTGAACCAAATAAATCCTTTAAATGGGAAAATGGTATGATGTGAATTTTATTTTAATAAAGCTGTTACAAAAAAAAAAAAGGTTATGCGCCGGGAACAGTGATTTGTGCCTGTAATTCCAGCAACTGGAAAGCTGAGGCAGGAGAATTGAAAGTTCAAGGCCAATCTGGGCAACTTTAGTCAGCCCTGATTCGAAATAAAAAATAAAATGGGCTGGGAATGTAGTTCAGTCGGAGGGTACTCCTGGGGTCAATGCCCAGGACCACAAAAACAAAACAAGAACGAAGCTCAGATAATGTTAGTCCTCTAGTAAAAATCCTGCACCGCCTCCTCATTTTACTAGACTGAAGGTCACAATCCTACCAGGCATGGTGGTGCAGTCTGTAGTGCAGGGACTCCAGAGGCTGAGGCAGAAGCATGGTAAGTGCCAGACCAGCTTTAGCATCTTAGCAAGGCCCTGAGAAGTTTACCAAGACTCGCTCTCAAAATAAAAAACAAAAAAAGGCTGGAGATGTGGCCCAGTAGTTAAATACCCCTAGGTTCAATTCCTGGTACAGGAAAAAAAACAAAACAAAACAAAAAAACAAACCAACCTCTTACAGTAGGAAAAAATCCTTCTTTTACCATGGTAGTGCTCGCCTATAATCTCAGCTACTCAGGGGGCTGAGGCAGGAGGATTGCTAATTCCAAACCAGCCTGGGCAATTCATCAAGACCCCTTCTCGAAAACTAAAAAGGGGGCTGGGGATGTGGCTCAAGTGGTAGCGCGCTCGCTTAGCATGCATGAGGCACTGGGTTCAATTCTCAGCACCACATTAAAAAAAAAAATAAAGATACTGTGTCCACCTAAAACTAAAAAATAATTTAGAATGAATAAATAAAAAGGGATGAGGATGTGGCTCAGTGGTAAAGCACCTCTGGGTTCAATAGTTAGTACCAAGGGGAAAAAATTCCTCCTCTTACTTCTTCTGCCAATTTCCTTTACCAGAATCCTTGCCTTAGGGACACAGGCACTCTCCTGCCTCAGCAACTTTGCACTGGTTTTCCCCTCTATCTGTAATACTCTTCCCCCAGGTGTCTGCTTGGATAGCTCCCTCACCTCCTCATCTTTCTGTTGAATGAGTAAGCAGACTGGCAGAGTGAGACTAAGGCCTCCCTACTAAGAAAAATCCCTATCTGATTTCCTGAGAGTCTGAGATCATTAGGGGAAAGGAAAAAGAATATTCTTGGCTAGGACCCAAGAAACAGGGCAGGAGAGGGTGAAGTAAAAATGAAAGTGCAGCAGCAGAAGGTAGTTAATTTTAGATCTAGGGAACTGGGAGACTTATATTCTATACAAATACCAATGATTCACTGGTACCAATGCTTGTTGCGGAAACTAATGCTTAACAGATATCGCAGCCTACACACAGAAAAACGCTGCTGGTGCAGGGAACTCTGCTGTTTTGAATTTCCTCAAAGTTTCCCCTTTTTGGAGATCTGAATATTTCATTAATTCAGATTTAAAGAAGTGGCTTCAAGTCACACATTTCACTATATTTTCACCAGAGTTTTCTGAGAAAGCAGTGTTGCCATTCCACATTACAGCTGAGAAAATGGAGGCCCAGCACCAAAGATGGAGGCTGACATTCAGTAGAAGCTCAGTAAATATTTACTAGATTTGGGGGCAGGGGGCTTGTACTGGGGATTGAGCCCAGGTGCACTTAACCACCCAGCTACATCCCCAGCCCTTTTTGTTTTTTAAGACAGAGACTACCTAAATTGTTGAGGGCCTTGCTAAATTGCCCAGGCTGGCCATGTGGTCCTCCTGCTTCAGCCTCTGGAGTCCCTGGGAACAAAAACGCGCCTGCGTTACCACCCCTGTAACATTTACAGGATTTAATTGGAAAAGAAATGTCCAATGGAGTTAATAGGTACCCAGAGTCATCCTGCTGATTCTACGTGCAGCAGGAGGAGAGAGTGAGGTGTGTGGTATGTGCCAACCCACGACGTGAGGCACCATTGTTTTCTACATGTCCCTTTCCTGTCCAATTGGCTTTCTTGAAAGTGTAGACCTAAAGAAGAGAGTGAGATGAAGGTAATCAAAGCTCCTACAGAAACCTTTCCGCCTCCCACAGCTGCTTTCTGGGTTTCCGGTGAGGACTGATGTTCCCAGGAATGAGAAATGGACAGACACAGGCAGCGCCTGGCCGGCTGTCCCACTTTGCTGTGGAAAAAGAAGGGAAACAAACAAACAAATACCCTGTCACCTGTTCCCTATCCCCCTCGGAACTCTTGAGGGTGCTCCGCGCCCTCCAAGCTTCAGGGCAGCGCTGAGGCGCGCGAGTCCCGGGCGAGCGCTTGCTGTGGTGGGGCGCACGCAGGTCCCAGGGTTGCGCCCTCCGGTCTTGTGTCTGCCCCGAAGCCAAGTACTTCGACTTAGCCTGGAACAGCTAAGCCTGGGATCTGGGGCGCGGGGACCTGGGCAGTGCCGCTCTCCGTAGCAGGGTGGACTGGGCCTGGAAGCGCGCGGCCACTCGGCGGGCGGCCACTTTCCCCTTCGCGGCTGGCCTCTGCGGGGAAAATCCCACCCTTTGGTTCTTTGCTCCACCCCCTAACTCCAGCGCACCCCAGCTTGGCGCCTGCAGCTCGACTGAGTCTCACCGGGCGTTGCGCGGTCCAAGACCCGGACGACTGCAGGATCCCGGGCAGCTGCGAGTTAGGCGACAACATGAATGGTTTGGGAGACTGGGTGGCCGAGAACGCGAGCCAGGCGGGCGGCACGGGCTGGCAACCCGAGGCTGTCCTCGTGCCCCTGCTCTTCGCTCTCATCTTCCTCGTGGGCACCGTCGGCAACGTGCTGGTGCTGGCCGTGCTGCTGCGAGGCGGCCAGGCTGTCAGCACCACCAATCTGTTTATCCTCAACCTGGGCGTGGCCGACCTGTGTTTCATCGTGTGCTGCGTGCCCTTCCAGGCCACCATCTACACCTTGGACGGCTGGGTGTTCGGTTCGCTGCTCTGCAAGGCCGTGCACTTTCTCATCTTCCTCACCATGCACGCCAGCAGCTTCACGTTAGCTGCCGTCTCCCTGGACAGGTGAGCACACTCTGGCGGTTTTTGAGAGTTGGGCATCAGGGCAGGGGCTGGAGAGAAGGAGGACCTGGGGACCTAGGACCTAGGAGGAAGTGAGAGGACACGCAGGCCTCAAAGAGATCCAAGCCAGCAAAAGACAAGCAGTTGCTGAAGAGGAGGAAGAGGAATGGGAGATGTGGGGTCTCTCAGGTGCCACCTGGGGGCCTCAAGTCTGCACAATTTGGCTCTGTGCAGCATGTCCTGGTACCCAGCGTTTTCACACATTAAGCTCACTTGAGCTTAACAGTCCTGTGGGGGTGGGATGGGAGAGATTTCTGTGCCCAATTTACAGAAGAGACTGAGGTCGAAAATAACTGGCACAGAGTCACCAGCGGGTAATCTTGTTCATGAAGCAATTGATCTGTCTCTTAATGCCCACCTCAGACTCCTCCACCATGCTTTCATTTAAAGCCACAATTTGGTTGCTTGGAGCAGTCGGGTTGAATCTAGATTGTGGAACTAGGGTCCTTTTTGAGGACCCAAGCCATAGCTCAAGTGAACTGCCTGAAGGTCCCTGGTTCAGTTCCAGCCTGCCTTGCACCCTTCCTCTAAACTGGGGGTCAGGGTCAGGGAGAGAAGCACACCATTGGGCTTTCCCTCCCCAGCCAGAGGAGGACAGTGAGAGAGGCACCTTTTGGAGAGTGCAGGACTCAGTGGAGTTTGAAATCTCAAAAGGATGTGTCCTTTCAAACTGGGGAAGAAATCCAGTGGAACTCTGATATCTCCCCCTTTCTCTCACTCCCTCTGGACCTCCTGCACAAGAGCAGGGAGGTGAGGCCACACTCCCCATTCGCCTCCCATTCCACTTAGCACTAAGTATGCCGGTTCCTAGTGTTGGTGGGACCCACAGAGCTCCAGCTTCCCTCAGGATTTCCCTTGCAGGACATGTCTTCTTCAAGCTGTCTCTAGAGATTCAGGCACCAGGATTCTACCTCCCAGGTCACCTTCATTAGTGAATAATCACAGCTTCCCAGAGCCCCTTAGCAAGTTCTCTGTAACTGGTGGGTGCCCTCCCACGTGGAGTATGGCTGTGGTCACAGCCCTGGGGAGCAACAGAATTGTGGCTTAGGAGTGTGCCACCCTCTCTACCACTTTGAGGCTGCCATCCTCTGTATCACTTTGAGGCTTAACTGAGTGTCTGACGTGGTATAACCTTGCCTTAGGGACCTTCCTTGAGAGCAGGCTGGGGCCTGAGGTGCAAGGGCTCACCTGACGTCTTCCTTCTCGACCTGGCCTCCAGGTATCTGGCCATCCGCTATCCGCTGCACTCCCGCGAGCTGCGCACGCCTCGAAACGCGCTGGCAGCCATCGCTCTCATCTGGGTACTGGCGCTGCTCTTCTCTGGGCCCTACCTGAGCTACTACCGCCAGTCGCAGCTGGCCAACCTGACAGTGTGCCACCCAGCATGGAGCGCGCCACGCCGCCGCGCCATGGACCTCTGCACCTTTGTCTTTAGCTACTTGTTGCCAGTGCTGGTTCTTGGACTGACCTACACGCTCACTCTGCGCTACCTCTGGCGCGCCGTCGACCCGGTGGCTGCGGGCTCTGGTGCCCAACGCGCCAAGCGCAAGGTGACACGTATGATTATCATTGTGGCCGCGCTCTTTTGCCTCTGTTGGATGCCCCACCACGCGCTTATCCTCTGCGTGTGGTTCGGTCACTTTCCGCTCACGGGCGCCACTTATGCGCTGCGCATCTTCTCACACCTGGTCTCCTATGCCAACTCCTGCGTCAACCCCATCGTCTATGCGCTGGTCTCCAAGCATTTCCGCAAGGGCTTCCGCAAAATCTTCGCAGGCCTGCTGGACAGCACACCACGCCAAGCCTCAGGTCGCGTGTGCATTGCGGCACCTGGCACCCACAGTGGCAGTGTGCTGGAGCGTGAGTCCACCGATCTGACGCATGTGAGCGAGGTGGCTGGGCTCCCTGTCTCTGTCCGGGATCTTGCCAGCTGTGCAGCCTCTGGCCCTTCCCAGCACCAAAAGACCCTCAACATCCTGACAGTTAATGAGACCTGAGAGCACAACGGGAAACAGGCTTTGGATGTTGAAGGACTGGAGTTTGAAGATGGGAACTGTAGGGAGTCTCTTTTGTTAATAAAACTCGCCAATCATTTCACGTTCAGTGTATGTCTGCTGTCTCCAAATTTCTGAGTCAGGATGCCCTGTGTGAAAAGCCTCTGGGACCTCTGTGAGGTGCAATATGCTTTGCTGAGCTACCTGAAATGGGCACTGAGAGCAGCCTGATTAAATTTAAAAAAAAAAAAATCCCTAACTGAAGCTGGAGATTGAGGGACTACCAAAGGCTCTTTTACAAGTGACCATCCTGAGGCTGCAGATGTACACAGATCTCCGAACCATCAGCCAATACCTGAGACAGAGGCTTAGTATTTAAGTGAGTTGGATAAAGTCTGTGAATAACAAGCAAAAATGTGTACTCCTCGTTGCATTCATGAAATGCATTGGGTCCTCACCTGCATCCAGTTTCCTGAGGTCCCTTTGAGTGTATCCTATGCCTACCCATTTTTGGTTTTGGCATTTCCTTACCTGGCTGCATCTGGGCAGGATCAGGTATCCAGCATGTCAGTCTCACCCCTGGCCTGTTCTACTCTGAGTACCCTCTAGCCACTCTACCCTTAGAATACCCTACAGCATTGCTCAAGAGCTAGTGTCTATCTGTCCTTGTATTTGTTCCACTCCCAGAGTTCTTGTGCCATTGCACTATTTTTGGGGGGAGGGGTACCAGGGATTAACTGCAGGGACACTCGATCACTGAGCCACATCCCCAGCCCTATTTTGTATTTTATTAGCCAGGGTCTCACTTCTCACTGACACCTGCTTAGTGCCTCACAGTTGCTGAGGCTGGCTTTGAACTCACAATCCCCGTCTCAGCTTCCGGAGCCACTGGGATTACAGGCATGCCCCACTGGGCCCAGTGAGCCAATGCTTTTTACATAAGGTCAGACCAGTATTGAAGTAGAGGCAAGGACACTCAGAGGTGCACCCATTTCATTGCTGAGAGGAAGCCACTTTGGACAAGGGTTTAGCCAGGTTGTTGCCAGCCACCAAAATATAGAAGAGGCCTGTCCTGAGTGGAAGAACCAAGTAAGGGAGAGATGGGGGTCCCAAGCTTACCCCACCTGCTTTGACAGGCTTTGAATGAGGTAATAGGTTCCAGATGGTGGAAATGGAGCAGGGCAGGGACGCCTAGGCAGGTGCAAGGTGGGTGGGGCTGGGTCCTGGCCTTTGTCTTTGGGTGTTTGCGGAACCAGAACCATAGGGGTTGCTAAGCCCAAGATCCCAGTCCTTGAGCAGAGCAGCTGCCTCCCTCAAATTGCTCAGGCCCCAGGTAAGTGACTGAAATATAGGTCACAGCTTAGGACCTGCTGCTCTATCCAACCCTCCAGGGAGCCACAAATGATGTCCCTGTGGATCCTGCTCCATCTTGCCTTCCTTGGGCTCAGCAGCATCCCACCCTGGGTCCAAGGATCCAGCCTATGTAAGTCTAGTTGCCAGGTGGAGGGAGTAAGCTTTGGGATTGGGGCCTCAAAATAACTTCAACCTTTACCCCTCAGCCTGGCCATCCTCCCTTGACCTCAACTCACCCCTAGAGGTCCATGAAACCATCCAGATTCCTAACAATGGGAGTGCACCCCTGCAAGTGAGCGTGCAGGTGTTTGTGTCCAATGTGTTTAATGTGGTAAGTGCCGCCTGGCTATGGGAGGGGACAGGACCCAAATGCTGATTTGGGGAAGGGGCAGGACTTAGTGTCCACTAGTGCTGGGTCTCCTGCCTCTTTTGTCACATAGCACCTAACTGTGAGGTGACGTGTTGCTCCTCTCTCCCAGGACATCCTGCGGTACACAGTGTCTTCTATGATGATGCTGAGGCTGGTGAGCTCCTGTCCTGGCTGAGATGGGACAAAGAACGTGGTTTTCATCAACTGGCTAATCTTGGGGGTGTGTATGTGTGAATGGGACCTTAATGGTATCCTTGTACCCTCAGTCCTGGCTGGATGCTCGCCTGGCCTGGAATGCTAGTGCACACTCTCGGCATGCAGTCACACTGCCCTGTGAATCACTCTGGACGCCTGGACTCACCATCCGGGAAGCGTGAGTGAGGCAGAAATTCTCATTCCAGAAACCCATGGTGTACATCCTTCCCCCCCTTCCCCCTAGAGCCCAGAGGCATTCTTGGTGGCTATTCCCCACCTGGTGCTGCCAGTGCCAAATGTAGTTCCCCGCTCCCTTCCAGTCTAAGAAGGGGCTGGGTCTCTGTGCACCTTTCTCCACAGGCTCTGGGTGGACTGGAAGGACCAGAACCCACAGGCCCGAGTAGACCCAGATGGCCATGTGGAGCTTAACCTGGCTCTCACCACAGAGACCAACTGCGACTTTGAGCTCCTCCACTTCCCCAGAGACAAGAGCGACTGCAGCCTCAGCTTCTTTGCTTTTAGCAACACTGGTGCTGTCAGGGTGGGGACTGGGGGTGAGGGCAGAGGGGAGGGGACCCTGACCTCTAGCACAGGTCTGTGTTCAGATCAATCTATCCCCTGGCTTAAGGGAGCTGAATGGAAATGCATCTCACCTGTGCCTCCCAGACAGCAGCCCATCTCCCCTCATTCTCCCCGCCCTCATCCAGGGGCCTGCTCACTTCAGTCTTCCCTCCCCAGAGCACCTGTTCTCAACAGCCAGGGCCAACTGCAGTGGCTGGGCCACTTGTGTCAAGCCCAGAAGCTCAGATTGCTGACTTTTGAAGGAAACTGTGGATAATAAATATCCACAGACCAAACAGGTGGCATCTAAATTGGCAGAGAATTCCTAACTCCCCTCACATCTCTCTTCTCTATGAAAGATCACAGCCAGTGCCCACAGACCCTAATATTTCAGGTGTGAGATGATGGGCCAGTGATGAGTCTGTGATCACTTCCCTGCCATCAAGTGGTACAAAGTGCATTTATTTCTACAATGAAAACTCATCAGTGAATCTGATAAGACCCTTCCTTTAACTGAAGACAATCTGAGGTGCTGCAAAATGTCTGGCAAGCCCTCCTACTTACCACTTCCTCCTCCATCTCTGCTCCCCAAAGTCATCAGATGTCTGCATCATCCCTGGGCTCCAGTTTGTTTCTATTCCTACCCTCAAGAGATTGGGGGGGGCAGGGCAGGGATATCTCCTTCCCGGTGGTTCACCATTCCCATCCCTATTCCTTTCAGTGAGGGAGCTGGAGTTCCGGGCCCATGCGGTGAATGAGATTGTGAGTGTCAAGAGGGAATATGTGGTTCGTGACTTAAAAACCCAAGTCCTGCCCCTGCAGGTAGTACCCTGCTTCCAGGTGACGGTGAGTGGAATTAGGAAGGGACTGGCAGAGGCTGATCAAGGGGAAGGGAGTGGGTTAGGAGCCAAAGGCATGACACCATCCTTCTGCTGCCTATCCTCCCATCCCCTGGGAAACGCTTTTTTTCCTTCTAGCTGAGCCTGAAGAACACAGCACTCAAGTCCATCATAGCGCTGCTGGTACCTGGAGAGGCACTGCTGTTGGCTGATGTGTGTGGGGGGCTTTTGCCCCTCCAGGCTACCGAACGCATTGCCTACAAGGTGACATTGCTGCTGGGCTACCTGGTCTTCCACTCCTCCCTGGTGCAGGCCTTGCCCAGCTCCTCTTCCTGCAACCCACTGCTCAGTAAGGCCTGCTTCCTCCCCTAGCTCTGGGTAGGACTCTAGTGGGCCTGCCCCCCTCCCCAATACCTGAGCCTCTACCCAGCCAAACCCCTGACTTCCTGTCCCCTCCTCTTCCCAGTTCACTACTTCACAGTCCTGCTACTGCTGCTCTTTCTTAGCACCATAGAGACCGTGCTGCTGGCTGGGTTGCTAGCTCGGGATAGTCTTGGAGACAAAAGTAGCCCCAGCCCAGGTCCAAGAAGAGAGCAGAGAAAGGAGAACCTGGGGCCTAATTCTGAAGGTGGGCAGGCACTAAGGCCCCTTCTTGAGGGTGGTGAGGAGTGAGGCCTTTGGTAGCAGGTTCGATAGGGCAGAAGCTGGCACCACTGTCCCTGGGTTCCACTGTGCCCTCCCTGGGAAGAAGCATGTCTATCTGGGGTAGTGGCCCAGGTGACCTCAGATCCCCCAGAAAACCCCATGTCTTGCAGAACTCTCTAGGAGAGTTTTTTTCTCTGCTGGAAGTACCTGGGAGGGGCTAGATTTGAAATTTCATTAGTTGAGAATCTAAGGCAGGGGGCATACAGCTGGTAACTATTAGGGTTTACCCTTCTGCTCTGAGAGAAGGGGCCCTGGGAACCATTTCTTTCCCTACCTCTCTCCCCGCAGCAGACCCCAGCGGAGGAAAGAGGTCAAGGAGAAGCTGGGCTGAGGCTGCTGATCATGCCTTCTTCCTCGTTTATGTGACCAGTGTGGTGTGCAGCCAGCTCATCTTTGCTGGAACATGGATATGGGCAACATGCAAGTCTGACCCAGCCCCTGGCAAGGCTGTCCCTCATGGTGGGCCACCCAAGCTGTAACAGGGCCCAGTGCTGTAGACCTTAGGATGAGGTGTGGTTTCCTGAGACTGGAGGGAGAGAAGGACAGAGGGGGAAGAGGGAAGGCTCTTTGCTTAACTCTTGGGGGCCTTGAGCACCCTGAGCTCACTCCTCTGTGTGTACAGCAGCAGAGTGAGAAATAAACCCATCACCCAGGCAAGTGCACCTCAAGGGTTTGCCTTCATTGAACCCAACTGTTCACTCTCATCCTAAGTAGGTGAGGCCTGACTTTATACTCTTTATACTTTGCTCCTGAACTGCTGGCCATTATCCACCAGTGTCTCGCCCCACACACTCAACCTTACTGCTCTTTCTGTGACCACTGCTGCCATTCACTGATGCCAGGAACAGGGAGACAGGTATATGAGCGGCTAGCCCCAGAGGGCGGGTCAGAACTCCTCTAAACACTTCCTGGGAGGGAATGGAGAGAGAGCACTCATGCCCCCCAAAACCTGGGAGACTCCTGGGAGGTGGAACTTCCCCAGATCTCAGGATAGTGAACCATGCACTAACTCCAAAAGAGTGGGTCAGCCCTGATCGCCTTTTCTCTAGCCTCCTGGCTGTGGTATGGCCTGTTCCTCTGATCTCTACACACATCTCTGAGCTAAAAGGGAGATCTCCATCTCTAGTTCTGAACTAGACTGGGGTTAGGGTCTGCCCTCCTGCTCTTGGTAGCTGGGGGCACCACCCTGTCTTCATTCTTTCCTGTTTCAGATGCTATTATGTAGTCCCTTCCAGCTGTGCTTAGCCATAGAAGGTGGGAAAAGCCCCTGAGTTCTGGGAGAGTGCTGGTTTGGTGGGGAATGTGGGATGCCTGGAAGAAGCAGACACCAGGACTAAAGGGATAGGACTCCGGAAGGGGTGGTGAAGAGAGGGCTCTGTCCCAAAGGACTTCAAACTCACCCAGCCCAGAGGCAAGTTAACACTGGTTTATCTTTCCAATAACATGGTTAGTTTGGTGGAACCAGGCAGAGACACTGGCAGGCTTAGGCGGAGGTGTCAAAAAGGCGATCGATCATGTCACCCACCTGCTCCACGCGATACTTGATGTACTTCTCAGGGTTCTTGGTGAAGGGCACGCTGCCATACCTGATCAAGCACTAGGGTCAAGGGGAGGGGAGAGGCCAACCCCTCCTCAACTCCACCCTCCACCTAAGGCACTTCTGATAGGGTTTCAGAGATGGAGTGGGATACCCCTTAGTGATGTCCCAAAGCCCAGACTGGATCTCTGCCTAGGTCCACCACACCCTCCTCCTTTCCTTGAGGAAAAGGAAGGCACAAAGCCCAGTGGGGAAGTGGGCAACGCAGGGTTTACCTGTGCAGAAAGGCCCTATAGGCCTCCTTGACAATGTTTTTCTGTGCCTGGCGAATCTTGTCCCTTTGCTCTGTGTCTGGAATAGCCCAGGCTTTCTGGATCTTGCACAGTTCTTCAAGACCATCATTGAAGCCCTGGCCACAAAAAGGATGGAAAGAGAAGGGACCAGAGACAAAAACTTTGGGTCTGGGATGGCACAATAGAAGCAACAAGCAGCAGAGTAGAAAGATCCTAACTTACCTTAAAACGTTCCTTGATCATCTGTCTCTCCTTGTCCCGGAGCTGGTGGGGTAGGGAGAGGGACGGAAGCGGGCCAGAGAAAGCTGTGCTCAGTGCAGAATCAACCTGCCTTGATCTTTCCTAACACTGTGGGTCCCAGTCCACCCTCCTGCTACCCTCATGATCATACACATCCTTTGCTTTTTGATCCCAGAGGGATTTTGTCCATTTTTCCCCCAAAACACAACAAAAGTATCACATTTGCTCAATGTCTCTTCCTAGCCCAGACCTTAAGCCCACCTTGACTCCAGGCTGGAACACAGGTAGATTCTTCTCTGCGATGTAATCGGTCACCTTTAACCAACTGCCAGAAAGCAGGGAGAGCGCATAAGGCTAGGGAGACAGGGCCTCTGCTGGCCATGGCTTTTTTTTTTTTTTTTAATTTCTTGATCTACTGTGGGGGTTGGGAGATGGGAATCTATCTAGATTACATCTAAACAAAACAACTGGGATCTTTTCCTTGGGAACAGAAAATGTCTAAGCTGCTTACTTTAAAAATTAAGAACAATCAAGAGCATTGTAATGTTTTGAACAACTAATAAAAAAATTAAAAATCAACTCCAAAAAAAAAATCAAGAACAAGAAACAGGCATTCAATAAACTGAACAGATACTGACAACTGCATTGATATCATGGCCAAGATGAAGACACAGATGAGAAAGGAGGGAGCAGAGGACAGAAGAGAGAGATACTAAAGGGAAAGAAACAAGCCAAGGAGAACAGAGGGCCAGAGAAGCAGTGAGGACCTAAGAACAAGGCTCAGCCAAGTTCAAGGCTCTTAAAACTCTGTTCTACTCTTGGGCTAAACATTACCCACATTTTTGCAGTCAGATCTTCAACTATTCTTAGCCATGATACTTGGCAGCCCACTCTGAAGAAACCAAGGGACAGCAGGCAGCAGGGGGGGCCTCTCTCTCCACTATGTGAATTTGATTAAAAAATAAGTGAAAGGCTAGGGCTGGGGCTCAGTGGCAGAGCACTCGCCTACCATGCGTGAGGCACTGGGTTCAATCCTCAGTACCACGTAAAAATAAAATAATAATAAAATAAAGATATTATGTTCACCTATAAGTAAAAAATAAATATTTAAAAAAAATAAGTATGGGGCTGGGGTTGTGGCTCAGCAATAGAGTGATCTTCTTGCACGTGTGGGACCCTGGGTTTGATCCTCAGCACCATGTAAAAAATAAATTATTGAAATAAAGGTATTGTGTCCAACTATAAAATATTAAAAAAAGCAAATAAATAAACAAACAAACAAATAAATAAATAAAAATAAGTGAAGAAAGAAGATAATAAAAGGCTGAGGGTGCAGCTCAGTGTACATGGGCCAGCTCCCTAACTACACCAGCCCATCACAATAAAGCAGTGACCTTGGGTACCCAAAAGAGTGTAGGGGCAGCACTCCTGCCATAGGATGCAGCCCTGGGTTCAATCACAGGCACCAAAACACAACAAAAAAGAGGAGGATGGCGTCCACAGGGCACCAGTTACTGACTTCCTCTTATAAGGCACTGAGAACGAAGACTGTGTGTGGGCTCAGGGGCAGGGATGTGGCGAGGAGCCTGGGCCCAGCAGGCGGATGGGTGACTGTTCACCTGCGCTGGTAAGTCTGGATCTGCTGTTGGATATGCTCCCGGTAGGAGCTCTCAGCTGTCTTCTGAGTCACGGCTACCAGCTGGATCAACTCGGACCTGGATGCAGGAAAGAGATATAGTAGAGAAGGACAGAATGAACTCCTGGGGTGGGGCTGGGGATGTGGCTCAAGTGCTAGCATGCTTGCCTGGCATGCGTGAGGCACTGGGTTCGATTCTCAGCACCACATAAAAAAATATATTAAAAAAAAAAAGAATGGGTTCCTGGGGCCCAGAGGCTGCTGGCCTTGGCAGCATCACCAGGAAGGAGGGCCCCTGATCCCATATTGAAATTTCCAGAGCTAGAAGGCAGCAGCACTCAGTGCTCGCTAATTGGGGACTACAAAGAGCAAAGTGGCCCTCCCTGCCTGCACTCAGGAGCAACCAGCCCTGGAGGGCAGAGGCTGGAATGGCTGCCCAGGCTGAGGTGAGTGAGGTGAGGCGCAGAGCTTTGCCTGCAGCCACTTACTTCTCCAAGGACTTGAGGATGTAGTTGTAGTTGTTGTGCAGGAAGATGGCGCTAAGTGCTGGGTCCTCATACACCTTGGACTTGCTTAGCAAGTTCAGCTGCAGGTTGCCCAGGACTTTACCTGCACAGGGAAAGATGGGACAACACCCTCAAGGCAGCCTGACCCAGATGGCCCAACCATGGGACCCAACCATGGGACTATTCCTGACTATTCCTTGTCATCCTGACTCGAGGGCCTTTTGAGCCCTTCTCAACTTCCTTGGCCCCTGAACTAGAGCTTGGGTTGCAATTCTAAGGTCAGGAGAGGAATGCACAAATAGCTGGTGAACACAGAAAGGGGAAGGGAGGGAAAAGGTTCTAGAAGACACTCACAGATATAGGTGCTCAGCAGTCGCTTGCTGAATTCAGAGCTGTAGCTGGTGGCTGACGAACTGGTCTCTGTGAGAAAAGAAGTCCTGTGATGGTGGTGGCAATGGCCAAGATCCTCAGTGGCCTTCCCCCACCCAAGGAGCAGCAGAGGAAATGCTGGGAGAGTCCCTGGCTTCCTCAGGAGAGCTGGTGCCTGCTGAGCTGCTGGGCTGCATCCTATGGCAGGAGTGCTGCCCCTGCACTCTTTTGGGCCCCAAGGTTATGCTTTACTGTGATGGGCTGGTATAGTTAGGGAGCTAGCCCATGTCAGCAGGAAGGCTGGAGGGACAGGAGTGGAACACCAGGCTCCCCACCCCTGGCCCCAACCCATGCTGGGCGGTACCTACAAGGTCCACTTTTCCCATTTGCCAACAGCCAACTCTCAGAATGGGGTCTATCATCTTTCCACTTCCCATAATCCCCCCACCAGGCCCTTATGAGTAAGGGGGGCAGACTGCCTGCAGAGCAGAAGGCCATGTAGGGAGACTGAGGGGCTGAACATGGCAGGCTGGAGAGGCTGGCTCAGGGACAAGGTGGCTGTGAAGGGAGCAGCGTAAGGTAAGAGCACCCTGGGAGGTCTCATGTCCCCTCGGGCCCCACCCCCAACAGATCCCGAGAGCAGGTCCCCAGGGAATGAGGGCTTTGGCAGGGAAGGAGGGGGCTGCAGAGTCGCACTGCTTACCTCGGGGGTCTAAAGGAATATTGTATGTGTCCCCAAGAACTACGGAGTGAAAGGCAGTGCACACAGAGGGGACAGAGGGAGACAGAGGAGGGAGAAAGATGCAAAGTGCAAAAACAGGTTAGAAACGGCTATGTCACCCCGAGTCAAGCAGACCTCTCCCCATGACAGCCAGACACAGACACAGACAGGAAGCACACAGCAGGGCAAGCCCTTTCAAGACCAGGCAATACACTGGAATGCAGATGTGGAGAACCGCAGGGCAAAGGCAGCCCCTTAGCTCCTTGTCCCCAAGATGGGTCAGAGGGGAGGGGAGACCTGGGAACCACAGGGTTGGAATGAGTTGGAGGAGTGCTCATCTTTACTGCCAACCTCCCATGCTCTAGTTCCAGGGTGGTGGCCAGCGGGAGGACACCCAGCTGACCCTGAGACACCAGCCCACCAAGGGTCAGACTGATTAAGAGAACAGGTAGACACAAGAAGAATTAGAGAAATGTGGAAGGAGGGGAGGGCAGGAAGGGTGCTTCAGACCAGCAGTGTCTGCCCAGAGCAAGGATGGCCATGAATGCAAGGAAAAGGGCTGGGGGGCCAATAAAGAGATGGCAAACTTCACTCTTCTGATATTCAGTCTGGGATGGCCCAGTGGGCTCAGGGTCCCCCACAGG